TGTTTTTTTTTTCATTTAGCCAGTAAAAATGTAGGCAGAAATAAACTCATTGATATTTGACAGTCAACTACTGAAAATGACTCAAATGAGTTTTTTTTGTTATTTTTAGGATGATGCAATTTCTTCATTTGTTATGCTCGATATTCGCAGGAGCCAACATGAACAACAACGTCGAGAAGGGCGAGGAGGACGTGCCGACGGCGCTGCGCATGTCCAGGATTCTGAAGGAGAAGGTTGTGCCCGACCTCCTGGCCGACGGCACGCTCGGCGAGGGCTGGCAAGTTGACGACGTAAGAAACGCGCCCATCGGAGGCCTCGGCCAGGACCACTTCGCCTCCACGACGCTCACGACGAGCGTCGACCTCAGTCGCACCGGCGGAGAGAAACGGCAAGTTCAATTCAATCAGCAAGTAAGGAGGGGGGGGGGTAATTTTGTAGAGGACGGAGTTTATAACACGTAGAACTGTTCTCCGTCTTCAGATCGGTCTCGTTAGTGTCCAAGTGCATGGTGCCGGGTGAGACCAACGGGGAGTTCTTCGACGTCGACGCACAGGCTGACAACGAGGTCAACATGTACAACAAGGTCTTCCCCTTCTTCCAGAAGCTCGCGTCCGGCTCCGAAGTGCCCGTCGGCGACGTTTTCCCGAAGTGAGTCCAGGAAGCCGTGGGCCGTGGGTAGCGGCGCCTGGTGGGCGGGCCGCCGGGCGCTCGCGTGCCCGTTTGGTTGCCTGCCCGCACGGCGGTGCCCCCTCGCAGTCCTGACCACGATCTCTGTTATAGGTCCTACTGGGCGCGAAGCCACTGGAACGGCGTGATCTCGCTGACGATCATGGAGGACCTGCGGGAGAAGGGCTTCCGCCTGGCCAAAGAGCGCACTGCCCTGGACCGGGAGCACGTCGTGCTGGCCCTGCGCGCCATCGGCCGCATGCACGCCTGGTCGTACGCCGCCAAGGTGGGTCTCGAGCACGCCCGTCCTGGTGCGAGGGGTGGACCACTTGGATATTGCATGTACACACTGAAAAATATTCCAGATATTTTAAAGGTATTCCAGATCCACAAAAATTTCTAGATATTCCATCAAATATTTCCAGATATTCCACAAAAATTCCAGATATTCCATGTACACTTAAAACCAGAGCGGTCGACCTCTCGTCCTGGAGCTGATCTTTCCCCAACGTCCCGCTGACGCCCCCCGTGTTGCAGGCCCGCTGCCGGAACGAGTTCCTGCAGCGCGTGGTGCCGCTGCTGCGCGAGTCGTGCTACAACGAGCGGTGGCGCGTCGAGATGGCCCCGATGATGAAGCGGGTGGTGCACCGCGGCATCGACCTGTTGGAGGAGCGCCTGCGCCAGGACGGCGACACGGCGCGCCTGGCTAAGCTGCGCCGCATGTCGGACGTGGTCGGCGACGTGTACTCCGTCATGACCGGCGCGTCCGAGCCCCGGGAGCACGTCGCCGTCATCGCGCACGGCGACTTCTGCAGGAACAACATGCAGTTCCGCTACGGGGAGGGCGGCCGGCCCGAGGAGGTCTGCCTCTTCGACTTCCAGAACAGCAAGTACTGCTCGCCCGCGCTCGACCTGTCGTTCTTCCTTTTCATGAACACCTCGCCCGAGCTGCGGGCGACGCAGTGGGACGCGCTGCTCCAGGAGTACTACAACAGCCTCAGGTCCACGGTCGACCGGCTCCTGGAGGGTCACGACGTTCACCCGGACTTTGGTGAGCAGTCTTGTTGCTCATGCCCCTCCGCTCGCATCTGGTCACCAGCACGCTAACCCGATTTCCCTCTGTCCCTAGTGATGCCGACACTGCAGACGGTCCGGGACGAGCTGAAGTCGCACGCCCTGTACGGCTACGTGATCGTCGCCTTCTTCCTGCCCCAGATGATGACGCCCCCGGAGGAGCAGTTGCCGATAGAGGAGGTGAAGGAGATGCTCGCCTCGAACCCCGACGCCTTACTCGACCTGATGCTTCAATCCGGCGGGAAGGCGGCCAACGAAGTCCTCACCACCGTAGTGCGCGAGTTTGTGGAAATGGACCTCATCCCCTAAACTACCTAAACGTAAACGCAAATCCAAAACTGGGATCTTACTGCGTTTCGTTTTCCGTCGTGATATTTTCGTGAAAAGTATTCATACGCATCAGCAGGCAGCCGCATCTCCGTCAATCAGTATTATCATATTGTTAAGAACGTGCTCAATAAAGGTGTACATATTTCTACCCCGCTGTTGTAAATGATGTGGAGCGGGCTGGAGTGTTGCGGGTTGGCCTACTCCAGCCCATATGAGGCGCCGTGGCCCCTGCAGCCTACGAGGGTTATGCAACCCCGCGACTCTGCGTCGTCTGCCCTGATACACACGGGACAGACGGCCATGGCCATGGTCTTGACCTTGACCACCGGCCGCATGTGCCAAGACAGACACCCCATGATGATGGCTGCAGACGCCCGTCTTGTCGGGGTCTTGGGGTGACGAACTGTGTGGCGGCGCGGCGGCTCGACCAAGATTCTAGCCAGCTGCAAAAGTCATCATTATCACCGCTTTCCGATTGCAAACATTTACATCCGCCGCCCACAATAAAAACAAAATAAACGGAAACTGATAGGCAGGCTGCGATGCATCGCGTGTACCGCGACGCGAGGTGTACAGTCACATCATCACCCGCCTCGCGTCGTGGATGCCGAATAGGCGACTCGTTTTTCCTATTCTGCGCAGCAGGTCTCTTACTAATTCGACGTGCGCAGCTCTAGCCCAAAAAATCATCACACACACACACGCACACATCTAAGATCTATCATGCGCATTCCTAACATTGCCGATATTCGCAAAGGGCCGGCTCAAGCGGGCCGAGGGGAACTCACTCATGAGTCACTAAGAAACGACATGTCGAAACGATATCGGAAGTACCGAAGTGGCGTCGAAACAGATTACCGATATCGTTTTCAGTTAGGGGTTTCCTTAGGAAGCAGACGCGCGTAGTCGCAGGCTAAACTACACTAGGTCCATCTCGCACCGGGCTAGAAGAGGCCCTTGGTTTTGTCGGTCATTTATCACTAGGTCAACTCAGACTATCTGGTGGGCCACTCACCCTGGCAATCCTATCATCATACTATCTTTGGCATTCGTCAGCAGGCCTCCTCATTCTGCTGGACAAATCCATGTTCTTTGTCTAATGACAATGACAGGGTGAAAATGGGTGAAAGTAGTGCGTTTTCCCCGGTTGCCCCTATGAGGGAAGTCACTCAGTATGAAGAAGTAGAGAAGAAAATGGCCCGTGGAAAACTACTGGCAATCTGTTTGAAATTTAGAAAATCGTCAAATTTCAAAATCGTCAGGACTGCCGTTCAGCGACGATCAGCAAAGTCACTGAGTGGTATTTAACAAAAAGGTGTATGATTAACAAATCGCCCTCCGAAAGGATTTTTTTTCCTCGATAAAAAGAAAACTTGATTAAAAATAGCATTTGCAAACGCGATTTTTGCCATCGCATCGTCGAAAACCACTCGCCGTGCATTTTTTTAATGCATGGAATTGACGTGCGTCATGAAGTTTTCGTGCGGACCTGGCGGGTGCCGGCGGAGACGCACGCGAGCACACCGCGACCCGAAGATTCTGACTATTAGTTTCAGCTCCCGGCGTCCCTCGGCGGCCTAACCCGAACCTGTGTGCCCGGCTGGCCCGGCGACGCCGCGCCGCCAGGCGGTTCGGTTTCCACTTCGTGTCGGGTCGACTTCGCGGACAGGTCGGCAGGACGGCGCGCGAGGTGTTGCCTGCCCTGCTGCCCCGCTGCTGGCCGTGCGCGGGAAGCTCGGCTCGCTTGGTCCCACTCACCCACTGCACTCTCTGCAGATGGGAAAGATTCAAATCGAGGAATAGATAGATTGGCCGGCACTCCACCGCACTGCCGCATAGTCCGTCAAACTCGTCTGGTAAGTACAAGTCCCCGAGTGTGTGTGCGTGTGTGTGTGTGTGCATGTGTGCATGTGTGCATGTGTGCCAGGGGGGAGCGGCGTGGCTGTGGCTGGCAGCGTGTGTACGCCGCCTATACTCGGTGCCGGCTCGCTCTCGGAGTGCTCAGTCTGCTGTGTGACCCGGCGGCCGGCGGTGACACCCACGCTCCGCGCCGCGTGTGCGACCGGTGGGACTTCCCCCCAACAACACCTCGGCGGGTCTACCTTGTAGGTGCGTGTGTGTGTGTGTGTGTGTGTGTGTGTGCGTGCTTTGCACGAGTGTTCGGACGGAAGTAGTACGCCTCGCGGAGTACACCGAGTACGTGAATCATCCCAGCCGAAACAAGACTTTGTACTCAATCGACGCGTCGACGTGTTTTGTTGTGCCGCTATAAGAGTGTGTGCTCTTTGCCGGGAGGCGCCGGTGGATGGCGCAAAGGGCTGTGTACCAGTGAACGTAGGGAAAGAGGGTGGGGGGCGTAGGTCCAAAACATACACTGGCAGCCGTTATCTAGCCGCCTTGGCGAAATTATCTGGGCGCGGGAGATTGTCTCGGCCCCGGGGTGCATGCACACACTCCTGTGGTGCATGCAGTGGACAAAACGGCGCGCCGGCCCCGCCCGGCCCCGCCCGGCCCCGCCCGGCCCCGCCCGGCCCCGCCCAGCCC